TGAAGCAGACGCAGGGTCTAAAGACTGACGCACTGGTCCACAAATTACTCCTGGACAGGAAACTTCTGCTTATTATGAAAACGTACTTTATTTCCAAGAGCTACACAAACGTTTTTCAAGACACGAAAGCGATATCCTATGTCTGAAAACGTAATTTTCAAGGCAAAGAAAGAGTCCGCTTGCTGCTGCGTGTTGTAGCTAGTTCATTTGCACTGAATCTCCGCGCAACCTTCTCTGCACCCCTTTCCTGCTCCTCTCCCCGCTGCCCGATCCGCTCTTCCCCCTGCTCCTCACTTCTCCGGGCACGGAATCTCCGCGCACCGCTCCCCTCTCCTCTCTCTCTCTCTCCTGCTCCTCTTCTCCCTGCTCCTCACTTCTCGTCTGCGAACGAAATGTCCGCGCACCCGCTCCCCCCGCTCCTCACTTCTCCGTCTTGCCTAACCAACACTGTAGTTAGTTGTTTACACGTCATGTGCAGCGGCTGTAAACAAACCTGTTTCTGGCGTAAAGAGGAGGCGGGAGGAGGCATTTCTACGTAGGAGCTGTAGGGGGGGGGGGGGTGGTTTCACACATGCGCAACATTTGAAAAAGGACAAACAGTCGCTGGATTTCTCGGTCCTTGGAAAATCCTCTATACAACCTTTAACGCTCAATTTCGATTTTTTTGTGAAATCCGATGTTTTTGCGAGGTCGTTCACATTTCCAATTAAATGCGACATGTATGTGACTCCAGTGTGAACAATAAACGGCCCAAAAGTGTCCCGCATGTGACACTGGAGACACGACGATCAACCGCAGCTCTCGTACCGGAGCCAGAACATGAACAACTTACTTGTTTTAAGGAGGAGATTGAGAAGGAGAAGGACGAGGTTTTTGGCCGTGGTGTTTTGTGGGGCAGCGGCAGCGACGTCCGTTGGAATGAACGTGTGGATGTGGAGCCAAGAGTGGTGAGTGGTGATGTGCTTCGCTTCAGTGACACAGAGTTCATTAACAATTTTCGCCTACTTCAGCGCAGAATAGTGACGTCTGTGGCTTGTTGATAACGTGTAGGTCGGATGAATGAGCTTTGGCCGTTCAGACTGAAGTCGCATGTCAAAAGATCAGATATGTATCGGTTTTAGTATCACATATCCAAGTGGCCTGGGTCGCATTTGAAAAAATCGGATCTGTGTCGTTCAGATCTGATCGGATACAGGCCAAAAAATCGGATTTGGGTCACTTCAGGCTGCAGTCTGAACGAAGCCTAAGTCACATTTTTTTCATGGTTTGGGTGTTTCCTGCGACTTATATGTTTTTAAGAGGAGGCTCAAGACCCGCCTTTTTAGTTTAGCTTTTGATTGAAATCTTACACTTTTACTTGTTTCTATTGTATTAATTTTATTATATTTATTTATTTTAGGCATATTTTTTAGGATTTCCAGTGTTTCCTCTGTAGGAGCGGAGGTCGGCTGTGGCTGCCGGGTTCGCCTGTATTCAGCCTCACATTTTACTATGTCTGGTTTTATGTATTTTAGCATGTTAGTGTGTGTGTGTGTGTGTGTGTGTGTGTGTGTCTTTCTGGGTTGTTTGGTTGTGTGGGGTTGGGGGTGTGGGGGTTGGGTAAGTGGGTGGGTGGATGGAAATTTGGGATTGTTTTTATCACTGTAAAGCACTTTGTGTTACATTGTTGTATGAAAAGCATTTTATAAATAAAGTTTGATTTGATTTTATCTGATTTATACTCCGGTGTGACTTATATATTAAAATTTTCACACTCACCCTCCTCAGACTGTTGCCCCCGCGACCCGACCCCAGATAAGCCGAAGAAAATGGATGGATGGATATTTTTTGCGTGTTTTGTTGCAGTTTTACAACGAAAAAAAGAAAAAAGATAAAGAGACAAATGTGGGAATAAACGTCAGTAAAGACAAGTCTTTTCCTTTAACTTCTTGGGTTCTTTTTAAAGACAATGCAGTAAAGTGTGTTTACCTTGTTGACATGTTTCGGCTGCTGCTGCATCTTCAGAACTGTCACCGGTGTTGGTGGTGACGTGTCGTATATCAGTTGTTGTTACTTCCTGTAGGCGTGGTCAGACCTGATGGACCTGCAGGTCGCTCAGACTGACCACGCCTCCTGTCGCCCAGTGTTCTCTGGAGGAGGGTGTCCCAGGTGTGTGAAAGGAGGAACGCGCCATCATCACGGTTAATGCTGTCCGTGCCTCGTTTCCTGATTTCAATCACGGGAGGCGTGGTCAGTCTGAGCGACCTGCCAGGTCCATCAGGCTGACCACGCCTACAGGAAGTAACAACAACTGATATACGACACGTCACCACCAACACCGGTGACAGTTCTGAAGATGGCTGGCAGCAGCAGCCGAAACATGTCAACAAGGTAAATACACTTTACTGCATTGTCTTTAAAAAGAACCCAAGAAGTTAAAGTATATAAGAAGACAAAATGAACATCTTTTGCTTAACAAGTCTTTTCCATATGGTCGTGTGGACTCTCTTTTTTGTATGTTCGCTCTCTGTCTAGCCCTGGTAGCGACGCCATCGCGAGGACAGAATACACATTCCCCCAAAAAGTGCCAATTATAGTCCGGTGCAACTATATATTTATTTTATTCATTTATTGCATGAGATAGGGACAGTGCACAGTTTTTACATGAACCTTAACAGGAGAGAAGCATTGTACCAGGTTGTAGCACCAGTGTCCCTGGGCAGCCTGATTCATTGATTGTATTTTTAACTGACCTTGGCTATCAACTGTTCTTCCTGGAGACCTATGTTTTGGGTTGATGGGGGAAACGAGCGCCCGGAGGAAACCCATCCAAACACGGGGAGAAACATCACACATTTTTCGGCTGCTGCGACTTATACTCCAGAGCGATTTATAGTCTGGAAAATACTGTATGTAAAACTATTCTTCTATTCATTTGTTGGCTCATACAATAACACATTTTTTACAGTCATGGATTTGAAACTAGCCACAGTTATCCACCACATATTTGGGGAAATACGACAATTTAACCAAAAGATTTTAGAACCTACTGTGAATCAAGTCCTTTCATTTAATAAATTCTGCTCATTGGTCAGTCCTGGGTTTTCAAACGGCGAGTCAAGGCCTGAAATTAATCTTGAAATAAACGTTCAGCCGTCCAAAGTCCACTAGTAATCAGTGGAATTTGAATCATCGGAAATGTCTTGACTGAATAATTTCCCTGATTTAAAAGTGCACTGTGCAGTTTTTCTGATATAGGAATCCACCACCTGTTTGTCTCCATGCAGATTTCTTTGCTTTACCTGGAATCTTCTGGCTTTAAGTTGAAGTCAATAAAAAAAAAATACTTGAAAACATGTAGCGTTACGGCGAGTGTGTCACCTCCCCAGATTTTAAATGAATATATCCTTAGTGGTATCATCTTTGTAACTTTGTGTTGTGTTTAATATGTTATTGTCATTGAAAATATGAATTAATTTGAATGGAGTATGAATTGAAAGCAGCTCAAAAAGGTGCACTAAATGTAATGTAAATGTGTTTTATTGTGTGGCTGTGTTTTATTGTGAAAGGAACTGGACAGGATGCGCCATGTATTTTAACCGCCATTATGATTATTCTAAAAACTAATAGAAAAAAATGTAAGTTCGTGGCAGCTGTGTTCAATAAAAATGCAAACACTGATGTTCCAATGAAGAAATCCACATCTCTCATCTATTTAGAAACTTTCACCACGTAATTTCACCTGCTTGTGTCAATGGAGCTAAACAAGTTTAACCTCAAGCAAAGACAAAAAAGCTCCCTCTTTGGAGACATGTTGCTGACCCACAACTAGATAAGTAAAACTAACTAAAGTCCAGCACACACTACAGGAGAATTTGCCCGATTTTGGCTGCGATTTGCGTCTCTCTGAGTTCGGGGAGGCGTGACCCGACTTTGTGTCTTCGTGTGCGATTCTGAAGCCGTTGCTCCTCGTGTGTGTTGTGTCAGTGTGACTCTGAGCTGCTCTGTCAGATCATAACCACTAAACATCAGCAACGCTACGGAAACAGCCGAATAAAACAGAGTCAGGGACAAAGGAGGAGCGAGATACAAACTCAGGAAATAGCGAAAATAATTATTCCTCACCTCTCAAAAAGTTGTAAATTTAAACTGCAGCATCTCATCCACATTATCCATAGAAATTATCCTCTGCAAATAATGACTCCAGTCCACAAAACAGCGCAATTAACCCAGTTTGAGTCATTCTTTAAAAGTAAAAAGGCCGGAGTAGTTCCTCATGTGTGTCTGTTTACATCCACAGTTCGCACAGATCGAGGCGAAGCTGCAGATCAGCGACAGTGACTCTACTTCCTGTGGACTTTATCGCCAATCTTTTATGCTTTAAAAATCATGTATCTGACGTTTCGCACCACATTTCACAAATAATAATAACACACTTTTGACTTGTATCTGATCTAAAAGTGCAGTGCTCTGATCTTTTGAACATTTAAGAGTCTCAAAGCGAGTGGTTTTACTGTAGACATGAAACAGCAGATGCAATCGTGCTCACAACTTTATATCCTGTGGTCCGCAGACAGATCCCGCTGCAGTCTTTGCGATCGGAGATTTTAAGTCTCATCAGATTCTCCTCGTGTCTGTGATGTGCGCTTTTTGTCGCACGTTTAAAAATCTAAGTAAATGAAGTAAATGGTTTTCTAGTCAACTAAATCGTCTTGCAAACATTCAAGAACTTGCAGAATTTAGAAATGTTTATATGACAAAAACAAAGCAAACAAAGCAGTGAGCTAGACTGCAATTCAATTCACAAAATCTGGAGTTTTTCTACACTAAAATAGGTCAACTTTTGCCCCGTACAGACACATGTGCTCATCCCCTCTGGCACTCTCTTCATCTCCTCCCTTCTTAATTACCTGTTGAAGCATGTTTGGCGTATCCCGCTGGTTTGGTCATTATGGGCCTCTGTAGGAAGAGGCTTAGAGCTTAAGACCTGCGTGCGCGCGTTTGCATGTGTGTGTGCGTACCTGCGGTAAATGGGGACAAGTCTTCCTGCTGGGTTTGAGTCCCGTCCTGCCATCGGGGGGCGCCCTGATGTTGAAGAGGGTCTGGAGCGCGCACTGTGCCGCTTGGATCTTCGCCAGCTTCTTACTCCGACCGCAACCTTCGAAAATGCGCCCGTCCACTCTCACCGCCATGACGAAACTGCGCAGCCGTCTCCCCTCGGCGCGTTCGGACAGGCAGGCGTAGCGTAATCCCGGGCGTAAGTCGTTGAGTATTGCTACGGGACTTTTCGGAACGTCTTCTTGAGGGACGATACCGCCGAGTCTTTGCTGAGCTTGGACCATTAAGTCTAAGGTATGTCTCAGCAAGCTCTCGTGTCTTAACAGCTCGTTGGAGAGGAGATCGTTGCCCGGGTTCGATTCAAACTCTTTAAACAGCGTGTCTGGGAAGTCCGCTTGGTCCGAAGTGAAGTCCGCCGATGGGTTCGTGATATTCCCCATCGCCAAATGAGCCTGCGGAGCGTTCGGGAATTGGACGAACGATTTCAAAGCTAGCTCCGCCGCGCGCATTTTCGCCTTTTTCTTCGTCGGGCCCGTCCCTTCGAAAGTCAGACCATTCACCTCAACCGCGATGGAGAAGACGGGAGCGTGCACGGGACCGGTCTGGGACACCATACGATACTGGAGCCCGGGTTTGAGTTCGTTTAGCTGGACCAGAGCGTTCTTGGGAGCGTCGGACCAGGAAAGCTTCTTGTAGATGAGTCTTAGTTGGCACATTGTCGTCATGTTGTTGTCCTCCTCTAGGGGGCGCTTGCGTTTCAGACCGGAGCTGGAGCTGCTTCTGGAGGACTCGGAGCAGAAGAGGGAGTCGGTGGAGCCCAGAGAGTGGTCCTCCAAGTTGTCGATGTTGCGGTTTTCTTTCACCTCTGCGCTACTGGTACCTGCAACGAAAACAGGAAATGAGTAAAACAGCATAGTGATGTATTGGTCAGCAGTTTTGACTAATTACGATAAGGTTATGGGTTGTAAACATAGACTTTACATATACTCGGCCATAGCTAACCCGAAGTGAGCATGGGGGTGCTTCTGGCTCCATCAACTCTGGCTCCAATTGAAGTTACAATGAAGAATTGTCGCTCCTCTCCCTGTAACTGCTACAGTGAGCCTTGTCATTTTGGTCTTCAAATGTTCGTATTAACCTGCTCTACATGAGTCTGGAGTTTTTATTTTGATATTTACCTCCACCAAGGAGGTTATGTTTTTGCCGGCGTTTGTTTGTTTGTTTGTTTGTTTGTTTGTTTGTTGTTAGCAACATAACTCAAAAAGTTATAGACCGATTTTGATTAAATTTTCAGGATTTGTTGAAAATGTGAAAAGGAAGAACTGATTTCATTTTGGGGGTGATCCGGAAGAAATCCTGGATTCTGGATCACTTTGAAATTTGAGTTAACATTGTGGTAAATGGGGCCAAAAATTTTGTTTCTCAATATCTCGGTTAATTATTGATCAAACCCCATGAAATTTGACTCAGGGATGGACAATGGGATCCTCTTTCATATTCCAAAGGCTGATCCGGATCTGATCCAGAAGACTGATTTTATCGCAATTTATATAAAAAATGGGGGTAGTCTTTGGCGGAGGTCTGCGCTCTCTGACTGCTTTTCTAGTTTGTAAATAAATACCAATTCCTAATACACCCCTATAACTGCTAGCCTCTCATTCATTTGGCTGGAGCTGAACTCTATCAGTGACGTCACACTCCCTTAGACCACTTCTTTATACAGTCTATGGTTGTAAACTTTTGTTGTCTTAATATCTGGATAGTGTTTTTCTCCATGGAAACAAACAGGTGCAGTAGCCACTTGGCATCACCAATTTTGGCCATACCAGCTTGTCAAAGCCTGATCCTGTCACATCTCAGAAGCGGAGCAGGGCTGGGCCTTGTTTAATACTTGGACAGGAGACCACTGGGAAAACCAGGAGCCACAGGGGGCACCAGTCACCAAAAACTGTTGCTGTGTCCTTAGGCAAGACACCCACATTGTCTAGTATGAAAGTGGTGTGTGTGTGAGTGGTGGTCAGATTGGCAGCCATGTTTCTGTCAGTCGCCACATGTTTCAATAAAAAGATCTGTAGTTGAATGAATGCAAAATAGGTGAGTTTGAGATCACTGTGTAATATTCCAGAAAAAGCAATAACACCTCAACGGAGACTAGGGCTGGGTATCGTTAAGAAATTGCCGATACGATACATCGGCCACGATACGATACATACCTCGATACAGTCAGCTTTTGATTCAATATGATTCAATACGATATATTTCAGATCAATTCAGTAGAGTTCAGTGAAAAACAAAGGCTAAATCATGGCTCTGATAATAAAAGTCTACTAAATCCACTGAGTTTGTGCTGAGTTAATATGAAAAACATCAGTTGTACTCATCAAAACTGTGAAAATGTCAACACAATTGTAGCTCTTACACAAAATAATTCAATAAAATATACCTATAAATACTCTTGGTGATATATCGATGCAGCAGCCCACGATATTTTCAGTACTTTTGCACACCCCTAATGGAGACAGCAGGTGTTAGACTTGCCACCAGAAAAGTTACACACTGCTCCTTTAACCTTTTCAATCAAAATGCCAGCGTGACCTAAATTCTCCCATCACTGAATCATTATTGTGTTATTCTCACATTTATCACAGTTGAACAAAAACCATGAAGGAAAATGTCTCCAGGCGAATCGACCGTTCTGTGCACAATAAAATATAATGAACAAGAGCACAAGAGCTCCTCAGAAACGGGGCCTGCGCCGGGTTTGAGTGTTTCAAACCCACAGAGGAATCCACAGAAAATGGGATGTTATGTGGAGAATCGGTCTGGTAATCTGTCTCCAAATCAAGTCTTTTACCAAAATATGGGAAGTCTGAGTCTCGTGTGACCAGAGCACAGAGCTATTCCAGTTTGCGATGGGTCCGGGCCAGGTTTTTGTTTTGGAAAAGGTGGAGGATTTAGGAATGCCAAAGGATATTCACACTGGAATTTGGTTCGTAAGGAAACTGCGAAACTGAGCATTTTGAGATTTTTAGTTGTGTTTTGTTTCACTGACAGATTTTCATTCAATCCAAAAGTGTTTTTAAGGCCCATTTACCTCAGAATAAACCCTATTCTTTAACAGTCATTTATTTGACTGTAAAAGTAACTAACTTCAGTGTTAGCGGATCCTAAAGCTGAAGTCCTGGAGTCTTCTGCAATTTGAAAACACAAACATAAGGGCGAATATAAATTAAAAGACACATAGACATAGACTCCAACTCTGACTGCTTGCTTGTGTTACATGTTGGAAAAGTTTTCTTAGGTTACGTTCAGACTAGGGATGGGCATTCGATGAAATTTTCTTAATCGATTGTCAGAAGAATTAAAGATCGATTATCGATTAATCGTTAACGTTTTTATATTAAAATGAAAACCACGCGCGGCGATGGTGGCCCTCGCCCTGGCGCATGTGACCCGACATCCGCCCAGGCCGACAGCTCGTCTATTAGACACATTACATAATGCACCTTTAAATATTTTTAGGAGTCATTGCGCCTCTGCTTTGGACTTTTCGTCCATGTTCAGGTGCTCAAAAATGCGATTGTTTGGTCGGAAAAAGAATAAAAAAAAATAAGAAACCGGCGAAGAACAATGATCATCGTTATTATTACTATCTGCACTACTAATCTGCATAAATAAATTCAACTTTACGACATATAAACCGTAACAACTCTAGAGCCACATCAGCCCGTTTCACATTATAATGTATTTAATTCAGTTTTGCGCAACAAAACAACATCACTAATTTGCATAAACTCAGTGAAGATAAAACTCCAGCTCTTGTGTCGCTGATGTGGTTCAATTTCTGTTGGATTAAAAGACATGACTCAGGTGAATACAGGTTAGTGTGACCATATTGCGTTTGTCAAAACCAGGACACTGTACGGGGGGAGGGAGGTGGGGACTCGTCATCGACATTGCGTGACTCTCACCTGGTAAAATCTTTTCCCACTGGACACAGAAACATATGTTCCTGCTTTGTTCACTGTGCACATGGACTCACACTTGTCCCGAACAGAACAGAAAGTGAGGAATTTCTTGTACAAATCATTGTTAAATACACATTTGTGCTTTGGCATGTTGCAGACTGACCCACTGTTTGTGTCTCGCTCCTTCTGATGCAGAGAGACACATGTACACACCTGTTTGGTCACGATACACACAGCAACCTACATTCGGTTTGTTGATTAAAATTTACGTAATCGATGAAATTCTTAATGATCAATTATCGATTAATCGACTAATCATGCCCATCCCTAGTTCAGACTGCAGCCTGAAGTGACCCAAATCCGACCTCCAGGCCAAATAAGAGTCAGGTTTGTGGAGATGCAAGCCCGTTCTGAGGAAGGACAATGTTATAAAAACATCCATAATGAAAAACCATGCTTTTATTGTAAGCAAATAAGTTACATACTAGAATAAATAAATGCCAATGCAAAAGTACTCAAGAGTATGTTTAAAGGCCAATCACAATACAAATTTGTCCTTTAACCTGTTTTCTATATTTAGGAGGTGGTCGCTGTCAGAATGACTGTAATAAGTCCATTTAAACAGATAATGAGAGATGAAGATATAACTAAACTTCCCTGGGCACATTTGACTCCCTCTGTATCCAGCAGTATTAACTTCACAGCGGCGTCTTTTTGATTGTGACACGAGCTGACACCCGTACAAATCAAATCAACCCTTTTCAAATAATTCATTAAGAGTCTGACAGACCAATCAGGCTCATTTAAACACAGCTCTGATGGAGTTCTGCTTAAACCTCATTATTTATGCACTTTGAGCCCTGCAAAACAAAGTGACATGTTTAGTACAAAGAAATAGTCACGTTTCCACTTTCATTTTTGCTTTTGACTCTCAGTCTCAGTCTGTTCCATTCTATTATATATTTTTATTTAGTTTTCACAGAAGATACATTTAA